CTGCTTCCGTTCATAGCCAGGCTATAAAATTATTTGTATGTTCTTCGCTAGGTGTAGAGTCAATTCAAGGATAATCTGCTTTAATACATTCAAGTTGAGAAAATAGATAGCACAGCAATTTACATGGAGCATAAGTCTGAAGAGGTACAGCAAAATGCTTGTCAGAAAAAGAAGGGGACACACTTCAGTACCTCTAAATCTACAGTTATGGAAATGATAGATAATGTTCCCCCTTTGTTATGCAATGACACATTCAATAGGTGATGGTGGCTGAGCAGCTCGAACAATAGAAGGTTGTACACTTTATAGACCTGTAGTTTCTAGATTTTGCGGTAGGTACAATATACCAGGTACATGTACTTTGTGTGTCAATCATGCTTATTCTTCCCAAACTCAATGACTATAGATGTATGATGAAATGCATTTATAGTTTTATCTCTTTAATTCTGACATCAAAGAAAATGTTACAGCTTACAAACCCAATCTTTGATGTTTTGAAATATTTAAAGAAAAATTGCTGACATGGCTTTTTCTTGTTTCCTGTTTGAACCATTGTTTAGTCTGAAAGGGGTATGCATTGTTCATATGTTAAGACCATGATTATAGGGGTTGTGGGTTAGTGGGTTATAGGGGTGAACAGGTGCATGGACTGTGCTCCCAGCAGGTGTAATAACTACGTATAGTGTCTGACGGGTAAACTCAATATGCTGTCTCTTCATGCCTTGTATAAGAAGGACAATGTAAAATGCATATAGTTGCCTTTTTTTGCATAATATTTGTCTATGTCATGTTAGTCATAATGGCTATATGGGTTGAAATTCCAAAAAAAAGGCCCCAACAGATTATTTTAGCTGTGTATTCGAAAAATTTGAATTAATCGCCAGTGACCCAAAATACATTTCAGGCAATAATAGCCAAAGTATCATAGTTCAGTCACTTTCCTCTTTTCATAGCCAGACACCCTTAGAAAACCATGATAACTACTGTAATAAAAATAGCTTGTGATTTTTCTTTCCTACTGTCATTACAGTACGAACTGTCTTTTTGTTAACTATTGTTCTTTTGCACGGGCAATATAAAACAATTCTTGGAAGTCCCTCGCCCCTCAAGATTATTTTTTCCGACACTTAGATGTTAAGAATATGCTGTAACTACTATACATTTAACATCTTTACACATGTGAAACCTAAGAAAATACTTGGGTGCACTGGTGCACCCACAGAAAAAAATTGGGTGCACAGCTCCAAATTTTGGTGCACTAAGGTGCACATGCACCCAGTATTTCGAGCCCTGATAGCCAAATTATCATCCAGTCACCTTTCTCTTTTCATAGCCAGATGCCCTTAGAAAACCATGATAACTAATAAAAAATAGCCTGTGATTTTTCTTTCCTATCATTACAGTCCGAACTGTCTATCATTGTTCTTTTGCATGGGCAATATAAAACAATACAAGTCCCTCACCCATCCACTGGGACCTGTGGTTTCTGAATCTGCCATACGGCCATCCTCACAGGTCAGCATGGAAAGTACTGTGGGAACTCCCTCTGTGAAACTCAGATCAAGCTGTGTGCTACATAAATCTGTCTGATGTGGCCCCTGACAATACCAAGCATGAATCATGCTACAGTAGCAAGCTGTTTGACACTACCGGCACATAACAATGGGATTGTGGTTACATGTGCGAATAGACAGCGTGGTCAACATTGAAATTCCTTTTGCAGTATGTACTGCAGGGCTAGAAATTCATTTTTGGGAATAGGTGCAGTGGTGCACCCAACCTAAAAAATTAGGTGCACTAATTTTTTTGGGGTGCAACAAATAAAACAAAACATAATTACAGATCTTAATGCTCCTCTTCAGCTATCTAAGCTTGAATCTGAAACGGGAGCTAACTTCAAAATCTTACACAAGAAGTACAATAAAGATTTATTATTTTTCTGACACTTAGATGCCAAGATTACCCTGCATACTATTAATGTACAAAAATATTTGGGTGCAAAAGAATTGGGTGCACAGCTCCAATTTTGGGTGCACTAAGATGCACATGCACCCAGTATTTCGAGCCCTGCATAGAGTATGTATAAAAGTGAGAAAATGTAAAGATTTTGTATTTTCATTGATAAAACAATGACACTTTTAGCATAAACCATTGTATAGTCTTAAGCTGTTATACACTACCAGGACAATGGTTTTGGGGTTACATGAGTGAATACTAGATAGTGTGGTCAACACTACATCTACAAAGAGCCTTTCCTTTATGTCTAATGTAGAAATATTATATTTCATTGTTAAAAACAATTGTAATGTTATTACTCTTCATACTGGTTTATTTGTGACTTTCAGCTGAACTCATTTCTTATACTAGTACCTAAAAACTTTATGGCAGCAGTGTCTTTTCTTTGAGCCTGTTTCGGACCCTTTTCAACAGAAGAGTCCATAAAAGTTAAGTGTATAATTGAAATTGACTGGTAACAATTCATTTTGTATATTTAGTAGAATAGCTCTAGGTTTATGGCAATCATAAAATGATTAAAATGCATTAGATGAGCTAACAGTGATTGTACTTAGTATGATTTTGATGTATATATAATTGATGTATATACATGTATTGCATATATATTTCTCTATGTTAACTTTGATAGATTCATTGTAGTACTTTAATAGATCTGGAACTGCAAAATTAATCTTATCTTAAAACATAACGTAGAACAAAAACATAATTACTAGACACAAATTACACCTAATACATACATGTATGCTTTGCATTACTCTATAAACTTAAGGCAGTATATATTTATTAAGAGATACTATTAAAAGTAAATTAATTCTAGTTCTAAAAATGGTATATTTGAAATAAGATTTTATGATTTTTCTACCTTAATTATTCAAAGGCATACTTCTTAGTTCTAGTGCCATATGATATAATCCCCATAGATATATAGTATAGCTGCTTTGATAGGTGCATCAATGACATCATCGGTATGACATCATCACCCCACACCTGTAGTTTTTTTCTGTATGTTCATGTCAAGGGTCACCAAAGTGAAAAAGCGCTATCTTCTCATTAGGGGAGCATCATTATATGCTCAGGGGATTGCTATGAGTTAATTAATGCATGTGGAATGGCCCTTAGCTAATGATCATGCCTCGTTCACACATCGTTAATGGTCTTATTTTAGATTTATCTGTTTGTATGATGCTATATAAGTCTTCACTGTGATTAAGTCAATAATTTAACTTTTCAAATGACATTGTATGTCACAATGCATATGTGTGTAATACTTGGATAGGAGCTTGTCAAATTTGCCAAAAAAAACAATATTAATTTGCCACTATAGAACAAAATATTTTTTTGTAGAGCCATTTTTAAAACAAAATGTTGATGTGAAACAAGAAGTTGAATTGGAGTGGCCTGATGACAGTCATTGCCCCTGATCTGACCCATGTAATATGATGGGAGTCTGATGTTAGTCATAACAGTCTGGCCCTGTACACAGCTGTTCTCACATGGCATAGCTGACTGAACCTAGCATGACATTTGATGTATGATTCAGCTGTGTGTTGTCATGATTGGGGGGGGGGGGGGGGTTGTCAAATTGATTTCCTTATAAGCACAATAGCAATATTAATGTATATGTGAAACACATTGTTTTCTTAGAAGCCCAGTGCGTTAAACTGTTAGTATTACCAGTTTATTAAAACTCAAAGTCAATAAATTAATCTAAGCATTAAAATAAATTTGTTTTAGCAGAAGGACAGAAAGTCACTTCCAAGTTATAGAACTAACATTTTCACACAAATTGTCAATGCTTATTTTAGTTTTCTTTATTTCACTGTAATGTGAAATATCTATAGTTTCATAGAATTAGTTATTCATGTATGGTATCTTGTAATATTTTCATCACAGTATGTCATCCATGTATGCCAACATGGATTGAATTTCTTATCAAACTCTCTGCCATGTCTTCATTGACTTGGCAATGAAAAGGACCATTGTAAATCGCTGGTGGAGAAGTTCAAATATTCTGTGAATGTTCACTTGATATGTGCTCTGTGATATGGAAGACCCGATAACCAAATTTAGGTCAGCCAACTGTTCATTGTACGTGACTTTACTGTGTGCAGTTACTAGTTACAGTTGACAAGATAGCTAACATCCAACGACATTTCTTGTATCTCTCTCAGTCGTAAAGATATTACAATGATTATGATTGGCTAATCATGTAATGCAGTCACCATTGTCAAGTGCTGATTGGTTGGAAATGCAGCCTATGTTTTGGTGGGCAATATGGGCCATGTAACTCAGCCGTGAGTCAACTATGTTTATACCTCCACAGACAGGGTAGCCTTTTGTGTTTATATTTCCCTTGACGTAGCTTAGGCGGCCTGCAGCTGTTTTGCTGCTTTGCAGGAGTCGCACTTCCGTCTTTTTGCTTGTTGCCGGAGCACGGTGTGCATTCCTTTGCTCTTTACTGGTGTTTTAGAAAACAGGAACAAAATTTGGGTCAGCTCTCTAGATATACTGTACACAGACAATCGTTAATGGAACAAGTCCGTTCAGGGTGTGCGTTGACACAAGGGTTCATGTCGTGAAGACAAGTTTCAAGGGATTTAAAGGGTACAACATGATTATCGGTAAGTAGAGTTTCAATGTAATATTAACCTTTTCGCGGAGCTGTATGTATCTTTTGTTTAGACTTAGCACATGGCAGCAAAAAAGCTGAATCATGTTGGATGATGACTCAGATCTCAGTCTACTTTCTTTGTGTTTTGATATGGTCTGTAATATTAAGTTTAGATTGCCTTGTTGAGGTTTCAGTTGTGTATTTATTATGTGGGGATAATAGATACGCAAGATCCAAGAGAATTGTTCTTATGTGATTGTTGTTAACTTGTTGTTATTCACCTAATGTTTACCTTCATGAACAGGTGGAAGAGTTGTGATTGCTCTTGTTGTTGTCTTGTTATTTACGTGTTGTTATTTATTGTTTACTGCAGTATGGAAGAACAAGTGCAAGGGATGGTCCAGCTAAAACAGAAGATGGACCAACTGAAGCGGGAGCGTGGACATCTTATTGATGCATATGAAGTGAGTTCATTACCTTTACTATCTTGGGAAGACATATGTAGACTTATAAAAACTTCCATCAAATTATTTTCCTGACAATGGATATTTATCTTGACAGGTGGCATAGGGACTTCCTTTTGAGACTTTCCATTGTTTTGAACAATGGGTACTTATAAAGTAATTAGCACCTATTTGATTATTTATTTGCCGTTCCCACATTTTTACAGTTTGACACACAACTTTTTACATTGTAAATTAAGATATTTTTAACAGTAATTCACTAATTGGAAAACAAATCGGAAAAAAGAATAACACTTCAGATTAAAAGAATTTTTCAGCATCAAAAAGGGATTGCTAAAGTTGAAAATCTCTTTTGTTCACTTGAGAGATTTGAAGTAGGTTTCAGTTCTGGTAATGCCATGTGGAGTATGTGAGTCATGTAGTTGTTGAACACCATCTGTTCATAGTGTGAAGTCATACTGACTAGCAAGCAAAATACAAGCTCTACCAGTCAGGAACAGTTACAGTGTGGGTGTCTGACATATTACATACTATGTCACAGTATAGCCTGATATCTAATGTGTAGGTGGAAATTTAGATGATTGGTAATATCTTTAGGCTATCGTATTAATTTAGCTGCAATCTTGACCAAAGGACATATCAAAAGGTGTTATCTCCAATGTACATACTACACATACACATGTACAGTATGTCACTGTATAGGCTGATATTTGTAGGACCAGTGGTATAGATTTACATGTAGCTATGTGATTCTTTAACTCTAGATACCCGTTAGTATACTGAGAAACGATCTAATTCAGTACCTTGATATTCTCTTAAAATATACGACATCTCTGATTGCCTTTGAGTCATACAGTTGTCTGGAATGGCAAAATTGTAGGGATCTGGACATAAATTTGGACATTCAATCGCTATTTTACACTGCTTCTGAGAAATATCCTCTATCCAAAAAAATTATTATGTAATACATGTAAATAAACATTTAATTGGAGATGGGTGCCTGTCTTGGTAAGGGAAGAAATTATCAAAGGACAGTATGTTGGTAGAACGTACTGCGCAAAACCCGTAATACTTTGTGCATAGCAAGAAGTCTTGTTTAAAGTCATATTCACGCATTTAAGGACAACATCCTGTCAATAGTTTTTGATTGTCAGAAAATATATCATCTGCAACAGACAAAATTTGACTATAAGTATAACATTGGAGCTAAAGAAAAGGCTAGATTACCAGGCCATACCACTTCTATCTGGAGGACTGACTGGTGTAGATTTACATGTATGTTATTCCTTAGAGCACATCAATATTCCACATGTTGTTGAGTGCCAAGTTGTAGATCACGTATTAGATAGCAGCTGTGTTGTGTCTATCCAGTCAGGGATCATTCAGTAAAGTACAGTTTTGTCACCCTAGTAATCTAGTTGTTATGGCTATCCATTCAGGGATCATTCAGTGAAGTACAGTTTTATCACCCTAGTAATCTAGTTGTTATGGCTATCCATTCAGGGATCATTCAGTGAAGTACAGTTTCATCACCCTACAGTAATCTAGTTCTGTGGCTGTGTCATCACATTTGAACATGTTGGAGGCCTTAATAAAATATAAAAAATGTTAAATTTTTATTCTTAACCAGGACAATTTTAACTTTTTCAATGCTGATGCTTTGACAAAATGTGGCCCTGGCTTGGGCTTGTAATTTCCATTCAACTGATTTTAAAAATTGTCCTTAAAGTCTTGACAACACCTTGAGCCTTTTCTTGGAAAGCAAAGATTGATTTCTCCATAGTTCAAGTCCAGCCCCTGCCTCCTGTCTCTGACTGACAGGGGGCGGCCATGTTTATTTACCTAGCTGACCTCCAGTAGAGGTGAAATGTAGGAGGCAACACTAATTGATGATCTTCAGGGTTTGACAACAATCACCTGGATACAAGAACGGCTGACAGCCTTCTTAAAATCCTGGGTACAAGAGCTGCTGATACTCTTCTTTAAAAACATGCAAGAATGGCTGGCACCCTTCTTAATAAAAACCTAAAAGAGGGGTGACATGGTCCTCTTAAAAACCTGGGTACAAGGAAGGCTGACACCACTCATAAAACAATGATTCACGTATTCTATCTTTTAGCTGAAACTGAAAATGCAGTGTGCACAACTCTATGATACAAGGCAAGGCATTTGTTATTTTGGATGGTGGCATAAATTTTAAACCTCTGCACATTAGATATCAAGCAAAAATATCGAGAAGAGTAGGGGTGACCTGGTGTGCTTGGCTAAAAATGCAAGGCATTGCCTAAACTTTGTCTCAAGCATCTTTCCTGGGCCTTCAACATTGTTTTCACTTGAACACTTGTTCTCATTATAAAAAGCAGGTGGACTTCAGCTGCAGACAAAAGCTGGTATTTTTTAAGGCTATAACTTGTTAGGGTAATATCATAATTATCATTGCAATAAGCTGAAACAATATCTTTTATAAGGAAGTGTGGGTCATTTAAAGAAAATTTCCATCAAACAAACCACTGTCATAACTTCTCGCTGTTGTAATTTGAAAACAGAACCAGATGGACTCCATCCGCACCCATGTCAGTAACCTAGAGCTGGAGAACGACGACCTTGTGAAGAAGGTCAACAACTACGAGTCTCTGTCGGACGTGCACCTGTCCAGCGCGGAGGAGGAGCGCGAGAAGACCGTCCTGCTGATGCAGCGGCTCAAGAGTCTGGAGGCCGAGAACTCCGCACTGGTGCTGGAGAACGAGAACCAGAGGGAGCAGTATGAGAGGTGCCTGGATGAGGTAGGTCACAAGGTCGTAAGTTAAAGATCATAGGTTAAATGTTGTAGAACTCTGCCCTGGTGCTGGAGAACGAGAACCAGAGGGAGCAGTACGAGAGGTGCTTGGACGAGGTAGGTTAAAAGTTGTAGGTCATAGGTTAAATGTCATCTGTTATAGGTTAAAGGTCACAGGTTAAAGGTTTTAGAACTAAACTAAAGAAAAAGAATATGCTTGTGTTGGAGAACAAGAAAAAGATTGAGCAGTACAACTACAAGAGATTCTTGGATGAGGTAGGTCACAGGCTTAAGGTTAGAGATCATAGGTTATGGTGTCCAGAACTGAAGAGGTAGAAGTATTACTGGCTCGTGGTTGGCTCTAATGTCCATGTTGTATACGGAGCTGTTCCATTTGATGCCCAGGATTTTTGTGATACAAAATTTATATTTACTGTCTATCACTATCTTACCCCACAGAAAAAATCCATTACAGGACAGGTTGCTATGTAATTAAAGTAATGACCCAGCAGGGGCTTGTCCTAATTTTCAGCACACTCCTATATTTTGCTAATTAGAAGGACTCTTCGATGGCCCCTTTCTCCAATGTAACAGACCCATACCTCATCATCAACAGTTGCTAAGATCAGTGTTTGACCCTTCATGTGTTGATGATTTTAATGAACTAGTAGTACAACTGAATTCAAAGACTCTAAGACCTGTTTTTCCCTTACAGGTAGCAAACCAGGTGGTACAGGCCCTGATGGCGCAAAAGGTAGGAATCCTTTCAGAGTTGATATCTTGTTTGCCATACAAGTGTTCAGAAAAAGTAGGTTGAGCCCTTAGCTATAGAGACATTGCAGTTTCAAGAAAACATTATGCAGCTACATGTATGTGCAGACTTCTAGTCTTACATGCACATTGTGTTATATTATTGAAGATGGGGTGTTAAGAACTGTTTTTCAAATGTTGAATGAAATATTTATGTTGGGAGAGAGACAAGAACATGATTGTTTGTAATAGATGTTTATATGGAGAACACATGTCCCTCCATGTTGAAATGTGATTGTTTCCTTACCCTAGCCTGTATATTAGGTCAAACCACCTCCTGAAATCACAAGCCAAATCTGGAATAACATTGATCTCGCTGAGCACTGTTTTGGTAGGGTCTAAAATAACTGTCTGTGACCTTTCCTGATGAAAAATGCAAATAACATACCTTGGAGAAAAGATCCTTTCATCTTTTTACGCTTTTATAATTCAAGTTTTTTTCCGGTGTCAAATATTTGGTCTCCTCAAGTTTCCATTGTCAGTCGCCTCACCATCCTGGGAAAGAGAGGTTATTCAAATATCTATTCTGGGGCAGAGAATGGTTGCCTGGTAACAGCCATGGGAACCCGTCTGATTGGCCAGCTGTTTAGTAGGGGAAGAGACTGCCACAAATGATCAGTTCATAGAAATGCTGGGGTGGATTGCAGCACATGTGGAGTAGTGAATTTTGGATCTATTTTTCAGCTGTTGTGAATTGAGATTTCCCGGTATGTGCAATGTTAATCAACCATTTGATATATTTCCTAACATTTTACTAAGTCAAAGAATCAGTGGTAAAATGTGTTAGATAGCATTTCTGTTTGTTGAAGTTTCGGTATCTGTGTACTTTTCACTTAAGTTTTTTTTAGTTTTCGTAAATTTTAGGCAGTAGGTTCATATGAACAATGCTTGCAAATCTCCTGGATTACACCAAGCACATTATATAATGTCCTTAATTCGTGAGACACAAAAATGAGCCTTACATCTGCTTGAAAATTACAAGCTTCAATGTTCTTTGATCTCCAAAGTTGTAAAACTTTAGCCCCTAAAAGTCACAATCAGAAAGAATATTATTAAGCATTTCAAAGTCACAAACCTTTGAAAAATGTAACCCCCATCCCAGAGCAGGCTGCCATGTTTTAAACCAACCATATTGTTGAGATATGGGAGGTTAGTTCTCAGCCCTATGGGTCAGACTGAACAAGAGAGGGACAGCTATGAGGTCATCACAATAGAACCATTGTACGACCATTCACCCTGCCCACTGTAGCCAATCTATAATTACCATTCCCAAAAAAACACTTTTTACATGTAAATTCTCTTAAAAAAATGATGTTGAAAAGGCCAATGCATGATTGGTTTTCTCCTTCAGCTCTAACGTGCCATTCCTAAAGATAATGTAAAAAAACAATTCACTCTCATGATGTCTTTTTCTGACAAACCAAATAAAGACGACAGCAGAAAAGACAGCTGGTGTATTATCTTGCCTTTTTTTGGCTTCCTGTAAATTGAATAATTCCCCAGTCACAAATCTCACATAAGGTATACTTAAAACTCCACCCATAAAAGGAACAATCACCCCTTTAGACTTTTATGTGCCTCATGCCCACATAAGGGCCGTTGATTTCTACTTGTCTGGTACTATTCTTAACCTTCTTCCTACTGTCTAACAAATTTCCTTCCAAAAGGCTTAATCTTTGTAGCTTGACTACCATTTCATCATAGCTTTTTGTAAACCAAATTTTTAAGGTGTCATGATTTCTGACAGTGTTATATTGTAGCCTGACTAAACATCAAGACAGCGCTTCCAATGGTTAGCCTATTTGACAGTGAGAGCATGTGTAACAAAGGCTACAGTTGCTGTAACGTTTTTGAAAGAGCTGTTTTCTAACTGTTTGTCATCTGCTTGTTGCAGGACCTTCGTGAGGAGTGTCTGAAGCTGCGGAACCGTGTGTATGACCTGGAGCAGCAGAACAAGCAGCTCAGCGTCATGTTTGAACGCAGAACCAGCAGGTTCTCATCTGACTCCATACTGCAGGTAATAAATAGTAAATATATCTAAATAGTATATGTGATAAACTATCTGACAGTATCTATGTACATGCTGAGTCTGATTCTCAGTCTGACTGTACATGGTTGATAGAACAATATCGATCAATGTAATTATATGACACATCTACATCTAACTAGTACATGTAATACAGTATATCATACATGTATCTATGTCTAGTACATGTGTACATGTATATACATCTATATATTATCTGTCTACCTACGCATAGATTAGGCTATAAGAGTTTTCACTCAAATACAACAATCATTGTGTGCTGGTATTGGGATTGATACATGACATTGTAGATATTTTGGTTGTGTACTTTCCAACCGCCATGTTGACTGTAGTTTGATAATCACTTTACCATTTGACCGCTAACGTCTCTCAAAGAAAATTTGACCATTGGCATTGAAGGAAAACCTTGTTAGAAATATCTAAAACATAAAACTGTAACGGTTATTGTACATGTATTTGTTACGGTTAAACTGTAAAGGTATTGTATTTGTTTCTCAATAATGTGTTTTTGAATTTGAAATCCCAGCTGAGTTAATGATTACCCTAATGGCTTTTCTGTTCCTTTTCATGCCCTTGACTGTGCAGCAGTCTGCCAAACGGTTACGGCAGAGGTCGTTTGGAGGTGAGAGTAAGGCGGAGACAGCTAGTCTGGACAGCAGTAACCACAGTCTGCCCGTACAGCCACAGGTTTGTTCTGGCTTTTATGTTGGAAATATCAGATATCTTTCCTGTATGTTTGATAGTCCCCATTTAGATGTTTGCCCTCATGCCATCAGTTACTCTAATTCACTTTATGTTCATAGTAGCAAAATTTCATGGTATGAGAAAAATGGAGGTGTTCACGGAAGTATATATCACGGTGGCAGCAGGTGCGGGAAAATTTTTCTGTGAAAAAATCAGGAATTACTGTAAGTTAGTCTGCCATCCTTCTCCATTTAGATGTTTGCCCTAATATCATTAAGTTGTCTCTTAGAAGTAGTCACCATAACATTAATGATAGATTGAACTTCCAAATACCTGTCTGAACCACAGTGATACATGTACATGTTACAGAAAACCTTGTGACTTGGAGCCAATCAGAGCTCGTGCTTACATTCTAGAAGAATATTCAAACGGCAGTTGTTCCTTTATTAACGGGTAGAGAACATTTAGAGGCCTAGGAGCAAACCAGAGCTAGAATTGTACAAACACTAGGCTTGTTAGATCCTTTGGGTACAAAATGTTTAAGAACTTCTGTCAGTAAGGATATACAAGTAGTCTTTTTAGTAGTATTAGTAGCACAACTTCTAGCTGTTGTATTGTAGGTTTAGCTGTTCTACTTCTAGCAGCTTTTCTTGACACTGCAGGGTAACATTTATCATATCAATATCTTCTTTACAGCGCTTCTCTCCCAGTCCTCATTCGGGTCTGCCAGGTGTCAGTCAGCACCAGCGTGCGACATCGTACTCCCCCAGCACGTTCGTGAGTTCCCGTAAGTCCGGTTCCGTGCCCAACGGCAGCGCTGGTGAGACCTCCCCGCACAGCTCGCTCTCCAGCATGGCCTCCGACTACTCAGCTCACAGCTCCAACCACAACTCCAGGAACGTGAGTAGCAAGCTTTGTTCAATATTGATACAAAACTTTTAAAACTCTATAGATATCAGCTGTCAGTCAGTTTGCAAAACTATGACTTAAAGTTTTAAACTGTGCAAAACAAATCAAAGGATTTTCCTGTCAACATTTTGGTAAAAATGAAAGACTTAAGGTGGTCCAGAAGGATAGCTGAGGCATATTTAGAAATACTACGAACTCTATCTGATATGGTAGTCTTTTGGGTCTATTTTTATAATTTTCTTTCGTCTTGTCACTATGGCCACATTTTGGCCGCCAAATTGACCGCCAAATTGTGCATTTTTTTCACGCTCCAGCCAGGCCCCAGTGGGGGTGTGCACATTATTTTTAAAAGCTACTCCGCCGCTCGACCAATCAGGCTCGCTGGTCATTACGTAAACTGAGAGCTTCACTTTCATAATTTTTGGGAAGAGAAAAGACACTGGAAAAGAGAGTTTTACTGAGCATTTGATGTCAGTTGTTTGCAAAACGTTTTGGGTAAAAACCTGCCAAATGCAAAGAATAATAATTTTCTGAAAACACAAGCCGTTTCCATTGTTTATCACACTTCGTATCGGCAAAATGTTGTCAAGTTGCAACACACAACCAGAGATATGCAGCCACACAAATCACCAAAAACGCCAGAAATAATCTGACAACTTCCTATATAAAACATTCGACTGACAAAAGAAACGAAGCTGTCTGCTTTGAGCCACAAGTTAGATCTTGGTTTAGTTATGAGCGGCCTGGCGGACCGGGTCACTGCATGCATAAAGAGCCGCGCTTGGTAGTTCATACTCGGCCGTCATTATGCGGCGTTATCCTTTGTGTTCTTTCATGATTTTCACAGACAACTCATACTAAGTAATTTTCTACCGAATAAAAACGCGTCTCTATCTGTGCACTGTCTTATTATTCTGAGTTTGTATCGACTGCAACACGTTTGTAACTACTAAACGTTAACGTTACGTTCTAGTGAACAGACATGATAAGAACTACTAGTAATTTTTATAAAATCTACGTTTTTATTAAGAAATACGATACTTACAAACTTCAGCAGAATTTTTACATAATCTTACGGTAACTGCTAACAATAATCTTTTACGATTTACAGCATACAGCAAATAATAGCCGCTTACAAAAAAATCAGTTCCAACAGATTTACAGAGATAGTCCGTACTTTTCAGATAGAACATAGAACGTCGTGCGTGAAAATTATTTCCACAAGTCTAGGACAACGTGCAACGTAAATTCACATAATCAACAAAATTATACTCGCTCATAATCTCATACCACGTCCGGGCAAGCTTGTTTTCCAGGGCTATCTACTCCGGTATCGCGCGATAACTTTTCAGTGTTGTGATCTTGCTGATCGTCAATCTCCTCTGGGGGTAGGCCTAAAAAACAAGTCCGTAACTCCAGAATACCCCGGCAGATTGTCTCCAATAAGGTCTCAGAATAGTCCATAAACCTTCATCTGCAAATCTACGTAGGATACGGCCGTGAAAAAGATCGTCTACCAGCCCAAATGCTGGCGCAAAGCGCACAGCTTTCTCCGCTCGTAAACAAGCCACGCCATCCGCCATTTTGGGTGAGTCACGTGACCCCTACTCGCGCGAAATCTTAGCGTTCTTTTTGGCTGTTCTTTTTACTGGACATATCCCCGGCCTGTTTTTCCAAATAGCGTCGTAGTAAGCTAAATACAGCGTGCTGACAGGCCAATGACCCATTTTTCGGTGGGAGGAATGGGCGCCCTTGGAATGGCGACAAAAAATTGGCGATTTCGGCTCTTTCGGGCTTCAAAATGGACATTATGTAACCCCTACGACATATACAGCATTTTAAGAATGAAACTGTGGAAAAAATGTTCATGGAAAGAGACAAAAAGGTGGTATTTTTTGAAAGATAAGCTTATAAACTAAAATCGTATGCGAGGCCGACACACTGCGCCGCTTTATATGTTGGGGAGGGGTGCTGGCGCATGGCACTGTTGACATTTACGAAAAAAAATTCATAAAAAATCAACACTTTGAGATATTAAAAAATGCTCGCATACGTTTGTTCCTATTACTAGTGTGTGCCTTTCAACAAAATATGGTGAATAAAAACCAAAGCGCTGGCCAGAAAAATTGATTTTTCTAAAAAGGGGGCGTGGCTCATAACTCGAGATGACGTCATGATTACGTCATCAAAATTTGCATAAATTATCATCTTGCACTAAGGTACTCACACAAAAAAAATCAATGACCATAGGTAATACTAAGTAGTATTTTTAGGATGTCCCCAAAGTCCTCAGCCACCCTTCCATACCACCTTAACAGGGAACTCTTTGTTCTATCAGGCAATATGCCTTCACAACAAGGACTTAAACAAAGTTTTCTGTAAGTCCGTTTGACAACAATTTATAATGAAGGATGTTGTTTAGCAGGTGGGCTGTGAAGTGCCTTTATAAATCATCATCCCTACCCCCAGTGTCCTTCCACATTTTAAGTTCAGGTTTAAGTTCAATCATGTTCTAGATAGATAACTGTTATAGTCAAGGATTTACCAGTCAACATTTAGGGACTACTGAAATTTTGCCTTATAGTTAGGCTTTGAGTTGTCTTTGTATAGACATGATATTGTAACAATGTAAGGCCTTGATCATAGAAATGTAAACCTCACCACAACTCTGCCCTCCCCCATCCCCAGTGTCGGTCGACCCCGCCCCCTCCCCTGATCTACTCCGTCCAGCGCCACCACCCCACGTACAGCCGCAGTCACAGCGACCCTTCCCAGCAGGCAAGGCAGCAGTTCAAGGAGGACAAGATCATCGAGAGGATCAACCAGCTGCGAGCACAGGTGGCCAGTAACAGGTGAGGCACCTGGAGGCTGGACCTTCAGTCTTGTCTTAAAGGGACCTTACATGTACATTGTATGTATGCACCATATACAGGTGAGGTGCAGTGGCCAATTGGGTAGAGCCTTTCATCTGGTAGATAGTCATACCAAAGACTTCAAAAATGGTACATACTTATTCTCTGCTTAGCATTTGAAAAGAGTAGCCCTCCACTCTACTGAGCTATGTGAACCAGATAGCATAAAATTAGTAGACCTTGGTGCAAGAAAAAAGTGATACTGGTTACCTCGAATTGTAGGTCAATATTTCAACTTTCATTCACTCAAGTTTCAGTCAATCTGTCAGATGTAACCTGGACTTCAAACTCATATTTCTCTGTTTAACATAAAATATTGACCAATGCTCTTTTTTTCTGTGTCCTGCAGTAATGGTTTAGGAGAGTCCATGCTGGTTCCCTACACCAGTAAACAGGACATGAGGGGGTCAAATGAGGGCATCTACTCTCCTGGCTCATCCCGCAAAAGTGGCCTGTTTGAGTCTGAGGGACAACAGAACTACACAGAGTACCACCCCCACAACCGGCTGGCGGTCAAATGTCATCCCCCACAGATCAGGGTTCAAGGTTCAGAGGGCAGGGGTCAGAGCAGAGAGGGCAGAGGTCATTCGAGTGGCTCCTACAATGATGACACGCTTTCCTGGGACAACTACAGTCCCTGCATCAGTCCGACAGGGAAATTGACGGGCGCGAAGCTCTCGAACGGGTCGGTGTTTGATGAAGACGACCTTGGGGACGACTTTCAGGTTGTCAAACCGGAGGACTTGTACTCCCCGGGGAGTGAGGGGAGTGGCGGAATGCCGTCCGAGAATAAAGTCGCCTCGTCTTCCCCCGGGATAGAGAAGACTGCCACCAGTCACCCTGGGAATGAGAATGGTCATGTGACCATGGTGGGGGCTATGAATGGGGAACACGGTAATCGGTTGATAAACAGTCATATGTTGTTGCCACGCCCGTACAGCCCCGGAAGGGGAGCAAAGAAAAAGAACAGTCAGCCTTGTGCGGAAATTTCTCTAGGGCAAGAACTTCTGTGGAAAAGACGAGAAGACCTGGAGCCTTCAGACAGGGAAACAGCTAAGAAGGGGCTAGAAAGTGAGTTCTACAAGAAGTTACACCCTGAGGCAAGACAGTTTCTAGCTCAGAATGGAATCGACATGTCTTGGGAGGATAACATCCACCAGAAGGAAAGAGAAGGAACAAAAGGCAAGAAAAAGGAGGAGAGCAAACTCCCGATTGCTAACGGGTTATCAGAATTAGAAAAGGCCTCTGTTGTTAAAAAGCAGGCAGCAGCAAAACTGATGCCTGAGGGGGGCAGTCACACATACACAAAGAAAGACTCTCAAAAGAGGGACGCAGAGCAGAAAACTGCAAGTGCAATGGTAGAGAACAGTGAACAATCACACAAACCACAGTCACTTCTCCACAGCTCTCCAGCCTTCGTTAAAAATAGAACGTCTGACCCTGGTAGGGGCAGATCGCCATTTCCCAGTATGCTCAGCAAAGCAGAGCATGATGGGACATCTCCCAGCCTGCCTTGCAAAGACTCGCCAGTGGAGAATGGAACAGGCGATGGCTACAGGCCTGTCCTTGTCAGCAATCTAGTTAGACGGTTCCAAGAAATGGAGAAGAATGAAAAGAAGACAAACGAAGTCATGCAAACGTCTTCCCAAAATTCCTGTAGATTCAACAGCTCTGAAGGGGAGTGTAGTAGGTCAGTTGAAGGGGGAGTGAGAAGTCCTTTCAAGCCAAGAACTGAAGACAATCTGAGTTTAAAGACACTTGAAGATGATCTTGGGACTCTGAGTTGTGAAGCCGAAGGGGCAAGTGCTTCAAACTACGCCAGAAGCCCAAAACATTCTCCTCCGGTGAGGGACACGCCTAGCAACCAATCAGAAGCCAGCAATGGCATGCTGGGAGGTTGTCCAATCAACCAATCCCAAGTCGGTATGGAGGAGAGGGATGAGAGTCCCTTGATGCTCCATAGAAATGGATCCCCCTTGCAAAAGTACCATAGAGAGCCGAATTGGAAGAACTACGCCCCTGAGGGTTTTGTAAATAAAGCTGCCAAGTCCTCCCGTAGTGATTTTGTAGTGGACGGAAGTGAAACGTGCATATTGAACAATGAAAACATGGAGAAAGCCTCCAAGCCTGAGCCTGTGGCTTTTTATCAAAACAGAGTTCCGAAACCGAACTATGTGAATAGACAGGAACTGTACATAGATGAAGAGTCTATCCAGTGTAGTGCAGAGGGATTCACAAAGACTCAAACCAAGACCATCAACGCAAACTTCTCCGGATTGCAAGGACCCAGGCCGTTCAAGACTTCTCTTCCTGTGCCAAAGCCATACGCAGGTCCGCCTCTACAACTCAACAATTTGTCCACGAGTAACGGTACCGGCGCCGCGGGAACTCAGGACAAGAGCCAGTACAACGTCACCGAGAGTGAAACTGTGCCAAAATCATCCCTGGTCGCTTCCGATCAAGTCCCAAACTGTTCCAAACCCTTTCTAAAGGTTAGAAACGAAACTAGCTCTCCGCAGAGATGCAGTAGAAAAGACCAAGAGTTAGCCTTTATCCATAATGAGTTGTGCATACATGAAGGTACAGCCTCTTTGAACAGTTCAACAAGTGATCTCGAGCTCCGAACCTTCCAGGAGCGGTTAAAGCTAGATCTCCCTGACATTGCTACAATCAAGACTGACTCAGGTTCAAGTTCGGACAGTTCTCCAGAGGAAAGTACAAAACCTCTGTCCATGGGGAGCCTGTTCGCTCCCGCGTCCGATTTCACGCAGTCCGACGCTAGCGAAGACGTCACCCCGACCAACGCCACGGCTCGCAGAGTCGGCGAGAGCGGGTTCGTGAGAAGTAATTCCTTCACGGTGTTGGAAGATGATCACGAGAAGGAGAGGTCTTCGCCAGAGCTGGACAAGTGTGCGGAGCTGGAGGGGGAGTTCATGCTGGAGAGGTGCCACATGATGGGGAGGGAGGATGGCGGCAAGGAACCAAGGTAATGTAACACGCTACGTCACTGGCCTAACTGTATAGGCTAATTGTGTGAACCACCCTGTCACTGGTCAACAAGTGTGCGTAAGTGTGTATGTATGTGGGTGTAGTGTGTGTGGTGTGTAATTCAGCACCAAGGACAGGGGTGTAGTGTGTGGATTTCAGGCTAAATGTTTCTAAGTGGGCCTAATAGACAGCCCTTTCAATTATTCTGAGTTGCATGCTTCTTCTTCTCGAGTCACCTAGGTCATGCTGTTACACTATCCCACTCCAGTGCTCCAATGTATATTGTCCATCCCCCAGCTCCCCTCCAGCAAGAGAAGGCCTGTCCAAGTCCCAGGAATCTCTCCTGTCTGGAGAGTCTCTGGACCTGAGTCTGTTTGAGAAGAGAGAGGGACAGGCAGACCTCACACTGGTATGTTCTACTAGTCATTTTTTTATTAAACAAATCAGCAAGACTAGTGATGCCCTCTAGAGACTGATGTTGGCATTGCAGCATAATAATGGAATTTAAAAAATAAACCGGTATAGACATACCTCACACTAGTATTCCTGCATCACTAGGTAGACTTCCTGTTCCACAGTACAGTCAAAGTCAATGTTCTGGTCTTTCAATGTAGTTGAATCAATTCTATCCCATAGCATACTGATATCTGTGAGGTGAAAAGGCATTAGTGCTGACAGAAAACTAGTTTTTCTATTAAAGGCTGGTTCTAGCTACTTTTACCCAAAAAATAAAGATACGCTTTGTGTAGCTTATTGTGGGTCTATTTAAAACACTTCAAATATGAAGTTTTATTTTATTAAGATTTACCACATTTGACATAACAGGACATATCACCTCTTCAAGATGTCAAACCTGAGACCAAGGTTTAAACCACTCACACCTGGAAGAACCCCTGCTCCTTTTGATAAGTGTGGTGAGATCTTTATTAACCAATATCTCCCACCCCCTCTAGAGCACATTGCTGATGGACTCAGATGATGAAGACGGTCCGCTCGATGAAGAGCCCATCAACTTTGTGGAGAGATGGAAGCAGAGAAGCAACAACAGCACCCCTGTCAGACTGCCTGACTGGAGCCCCAGCAAAACTAAGGAGGAACTGTCACGCAAGGTTAGCAGAGACCCCTAGTGTCCCTTTATAGAAGTGCTGCATGATCTCTATCCATGGTATTGCAACAAAGTCATATAATCATTAGGGTAGGAAATGTATTAGGATCTGTGAACTAAGGAGGAACTGTAATGGAAGGTCAGCAGAGACCCCTAGTGTCCCCTTTCTATAACTGCAACATGTTCTCTATCCATGATATTGCAGCAAATTCATTAGGGTATAAAATGTTTGAAAAACTGTGGACTTTTGGGATGAACAAAACTGTACATTGGTGATATGAGGGGAGAGGAGTATTTCTTAGTACAGCTTATTTCTTAGCTGTCACTGGGAGCTTGAAATACTGGTCTGAGATACTGGGAGAGGAGTAGAAGGAGTACATATTTGCAGACATGAACCTACCACAAAAAGTTCACTATTTTCAACACTTAGAGATAATCTTTTGTTTCCACAGGTGAGCAAACCCTCTGCTCTGCAGCTTGACCTGGACCGGCCCAGCCACCAGGCCTTGTCAGAGAACTGGCTACTGGGCGTGCCCACAACCAACCCTACTACCTCCTCGCAGAGCTCTGCAAATTCCATGTTTCCCACCAGCAACAAAAATTCCAGTTACCATGGCAACTCAGGAAAGTTGGCCAACGGCTCGCCGCTACAGAGACGGCGGTGGATGGACGGGTTCGACGGGACGAAGGGTCAGAGGTCGAAGGGCGCGCCGAGGTCGTCACAAACGTGGGAGCGAGGCTGTACAGCGCGACCTTCGGAAAGGTCGAGAGACATGTGGGCGGGGTTTTTCGGACGGAGAAATCGCGGAGTTAGAAGAGAAAGACGGGCATGTGAGGTATGATGGTGACTGGTTTATTATGTTTTTGCTCTGTTTCTTCTTCTTCCGTTCCAAACACTGACCTGGCCAATGACCTGAACCAGAGGCCTGTCACCATGGCAACTTGTTTTGTGTTACATAATGTTGCAACTTTATAGTAGGAGGGATTTAGACTCCTGTCACCCTGTATGTGAATGTGTTTCAGTAAGAATTAACAGAGCAGACCATATGCGAAGGTAAACATTGTGCATTTGATTTGCAGATGTTACCTTTCTAGTTTTACATGCTCTTTTCTGTTCTCTCTATAGGTACCGACCAATCTTCAAAGAGGGAGAGAAGTTTCCGGGGTTTGCGGATGAGGACCCTGCAGAAGTGGGCCAGAGGAAAGGTCTGTACGATTCCGCGTACGGTACAAACGGAACGGACGGGCGAGAGTCGTCGGGAGAGGGCATCTCCAGTCTGATCGGGAAGGACGAAGTGTCGGAACCAGAATCACTCAGCGCTAAGGTACTGGTCACTTTTTTCCTTTTTAGATATTACAACAACAACAATCTTCATTTTGACTCAACAAAAGTACATGTACAGGAACTTTAATAAGGTTTAAACTACTACAACTCAATATACAGACAAGTGGATAGAAATGAATTAACCTACATACAAGTACATGTAAATGTATGACCAATGATATTCAAGCATACTTTGATAACACAAAGAGAACATTTCTTGTACTATGTTTTCTTTATTCTAAGCCACATTAATTTATTTTCATGGTTCACAAAGATTTTAGGTAAAATCACAAAAAACACTGAGAGTCAGAAGGAAAACTTGAATCTGACAACTAGCACCAGTATATTTTCTTTCAGAAACTGTGTACCAATGTACAGAATTTTCCCCCAGCTCAGAGTGTTACTGTATTCTGTATCTTGATCTTTCAGTTAAGCATCATTCTTTTATCTGTCAGTGAGATCCAAGGAACGTTGTGATGAAAGCTCCTTGGTGTACCCTTAAGCTCAAGACTTAATTCCTGTTTTCTAGGAGAGGGCAAACCTCCTGGACTCCCTGATAGGCAGCGATGACTCAACAACAGACTCTGAGGATGAGGCTGATCACCACCTGTTCACCAAACTACGACTGGCCAGGAGAAGTGAGTCGTGACTTGTTGAAAGTTCTGATAACAATACTGTGCTATAAATGTACAATAGTGAGGGATACTCCATTGAGAAAGGAAATGCTGTATGTACTGTACTTATAGACGGGTATGAAGAATTTAAGTTTGTAATAGGAATTTAAAATCTACAATAAGTTTTGAGAGTATACAAATGGTTGAATTTACTGTAATTTTAAGTTTGTGATAATTAGGAAGGGAAAGGAGGCATTAAAAGAATATTATTATAGTAGTACAGGAGCAATATTACAGAGTATGTACTATGCATTATCATAATGGTGAGCTTGTGTTGAGCTCTCAAAACAATGAACAGCAAACCACCTGAATATTTTCCAATGTAGAGGAAGAACTTTATTGCACAACAATTGTACATGTATCAGAAACATCATGTAGGTTGACTTGGAAATGGGGATAACCTCCTTGGTACAAGCACATGAAGTTGAGTCCCTTGCTACTATCAATTCTCAGAGGTTAATCTAATTTATAAATCTGACTGTATTCTCCTCCCATAGGTGTAAAGCGGAACCAGGTAATCCGTGACTCCCAGGCGGGCTACGTGTCTATCGTGGAGTTCAGAGCGAGGAACATGTTTGCGAGGTTCGGGGAGCCGGAGAAGGAGGCGGTGGCGTGTTTTGACTTCCTGGAGGAACTGTCAATCAGCAGTGTGGACAGGGAGGAAAAGGTTCGTCACAAAGTTTAAGGTTTTAAACATTTTTTGATAAATGAAGGATTGTGTAGCCTGTGGTATGGTAGCATGTTTGTGTGTGTCTGAGCGCATAGTGGTTCTAAGGCATTACTAGATTTGCTAGTATTTATATGAACTTACACAGAGGGAACCAATTCTTTACATGTGACAGACAGCTGAATAAGGAAATTTTTCCGGTGTCCGTCCATGTCTGGGCACGCTACCACCCCTGTGCAGGTTTCCAAGAAGCTGACTGCTGGAGGTCAAGAGTTCAATCATGAAGTTTGGAGTATTCTGTTGACAATTGAAAAGAGGAACTAAGTCCTTATTAGTATTATGTATTGTTCTGTTGGAAAGTGATAGAAGTACATGCCTCCATTTGTACCCTACCCCACCGCTAAATATCAAAGCGTCCCGCCGCTAAGAATCGTACCACCCCGCCAACGCAATCACGTGGTCCGGAACTCGTGAGTCTGACTCATTCGATGGCGTCACCTTAAAACAACGCTAAGTATCGAATCGTCTTGCCATTAAAAATCGTACCACCCCGCCAACGCAGTCACGTGGTAAGGAAATGGTGTCACCTGAAAACAATGCTACATATCAAAACGTCTCACCGCTAAAAATCGTACCACCCTGCCAACGCAGTCACGTGGTCCGGAACTCGTGAGTCTGACATCATTCAATGATGTCACCTGAAAACACCGCAAAATATCGTACTGCCCCGCTGCTAACAATCGTACCACCCGCCAACGCAGTCACGAGGTACGGAAGTGGCGTCACCTGAAAACAACGCTACATATCAAACCGTCCCACCGCTAAAAATCGTATCACCCCGCCAACGCAGTCACGTGGTACGGAAGTGGCGTCACCTGAAAACAATGCTACATATCAAACCATCCCGCCACTAAAAATCGTACCACCCCGCTAACACAGTCACGTGGTGCAGAACTCGTGACTATGACCTCATTCTGTGGAAAACAACGTCACCAGAAAAACAACGCTGAATACCGTACTGCCAATCGTACCACCCGCCAACGCAACACAATCAAACTCGTAAGGCTGACCTCATCCAGTGGCGTCACCTGAAAACACCGCCCACATACAACCCCACCCAACACCTGCACTGACCGGATTGTCTCAACGACGTGGAATGTTAGCTTCCGCTTTTTCACAGGACATACCAGAGGAGATTAAATACAGGCAGATACTGTACGGGATTCCCCGAATTAAACAGGAAATTGGCTTGACTTTCTCTGATGTGTGCCAAAATTTGAGTTGTAGATTCAAAATACTTTTGATTTGCTGTATTTATTTATAACAGTTTTACCACACAGGGTATAGTGGAACAGGTGTTCAGAAACACCTTTTCAAGGCCACCATACACATGTACCAAACCCTATAACCCACTGAATTTTTGAAACTTGGAAGTGGAGCTAAATCTTAGTCAATGTAAAATGCTGTAGTTGAATATGGTTAGAATTAGCACTGTGCAGTTGTACACTGTACATATCAGGTCAGGACTTGAATGTCACATGTACCTGTACATGAACAAACTAAAGCACCAGTGGAAACCATTGACTACAGTGAAGTCTCAAAGATGATAATGTAACACTTGAACACTATTAAAACTTGTAAATGCTTTTAGATTTAGATCACGAACACACATAAACACAGACACTCACAAACACTTTTTGTATACGCAGTCCAATCCAATCACTACATTTAACGAGAGGTTAACTTTGCAAATGTTATTCACATCTCAGGATCAAAGCATGATACAGGGGAGTCCCCCACACAGCATACCTCACACAAACATGCACCCACACGCCACTACAGAGCCAGAAAAGAGGAAGTCAATAGAAACTACTTTTACCTCAATCTGTGGGCGTTTCTGTACTTGAATGTACTTGTTTTGTATAGGCTTACAATGTGGCCGGAAATGTGGGAGGGGGAATCCTTGACGAATGTTTTGAGACATGGTTTTGCATATGTTTAACCAGGATACTGGAGGATAAGTTGAATTTTCAATTGTAGCAACAAGTTTTTACTAGTTCAGTGAAGTATACTACTACAGGTGCCTAACATACTGTAGTATAGAAGCTAGTTGTATAGTAAAGAGTGTACAATGTAGGTGGGATCCAGAGCACACATACAGTACTAGTGGGATAGCACATCCACTGTATTTGTGCAAGTAGCTTTAAAATGATATGTTTTAAGTTTGTTATACACATGTATTTTCTAAGAATAAGACAGTCATAAATGAGCAGGACTTAAATGTATCATTCTATCAATGATAATAGAATGATAGGAAAAGGTTATAAAACTTACTGACATTTTAGAATTGTAAGTGAACCATTTCAGTTTTGCTTAAAATGTGTATAACACTTTTCAGTGATTATGGTGCAAATTATGATTCACTAAACTTTGCAGTTGTACATAATAGCAGTCATTTTGGACAAGACATTTAGTGCAGAAAGCCACCTGTTTCTCTGAACACGCTGTTTTACTGAAGACAGGATGTAATTTTTGGCTGTAGGGGACGGAAACGGAAGTTTGTTGAATTCCTGCGAGCAAACTTCAAAGATTTTGCGTGTTCTCGTATATAAATGTACAACACAACTCAGATGTGCTGGCGGAAATACCATATTACCCTTTGAGATTTTTTTAATCAGGAAATTCCATAGGAACTGAAGAAAATTCCGCTTTGAAATTTCATATAACACATGAAAAATGTGTCCCCTGCAGGTGTGACATATGAGACAGATGCCTGCACATACACCATATATGTCTGTATGTTAACATTATGATTATTACTATCAGTATCAGCCCATGGTGTACTTGGTGGCTGTTTTCTCGTGTATGGTGCGGAGTCACAGTTTTCTGTGCAAAGTTTAGACAGTGGTGTAACTGTGTGTATAATATAAGAGGGCCTTCTTGTCTTGTTAAAAGGGATTCTTTGTTTTAGGTTCTCCCCACATGCTGCTTTTTCTTTGTTCCATTTCATTGTACATACCATATACTTCATAGATGTAAGCCACACTTGAAGTAACACATCAGCAGAATGTACTGCGCCTGTGCGAAAGCCTGATTTTTCATGGTTTTCGTGAGATTTTTCCCAACGTTGCATCAGAATTTTGCCTGTTGCAGACGATATCTTTTCCAACACAACATTTGGAAACTACCGACAGGATGTTAACCTTATAATTATATGTACGAATATGACCTTATATGAGACGTTCTGCGGAAATTCTATGCATAATACATTACGGGTTTCGCGTAGGTGCAGTACGTTCTGCTGATGTGCTACTTGAAGTGGACACCAAATTTTGGATTATTTCACATTGAAATGTATGTTTTTGACACATCTACAGGTTCTTTGTTTGCAGGTAGAAAATGTAAACTAGTCTTTCTCTTATATTTGCCAGGATGAAGACACCCGCCAACACACTCCTCTTCAGAGCGACCAAGACAACAGCAACATCCCCAACAAGGCTGACTCCCCGAAATCCAGCAAGGACGACCACAACAACAAGATCAGCGGGAGAAACCATTCCCACCCTGAGGAGGGGGAGGTAGAGGTAGATGGAGGGGCGGAGAGGCCTGGCAGTTCTCCTGCCAGCTCCACGGAGTGCCTTTCCTTCAGCGACTCCCTGTATGACAGTTTCTCTTCCAATCCAAGCCTATCTTCCAACGATACGTAGTAATATGTAGGGAGTGTTGAAGCAAGAAGGTTCAGTAGCCTCCACCAGGCTTTCCTAATGGGGTTTAGGATCATGGTAGAATTCAGTAATCTCCAAGCAGATGCTAGGGTGGCAAAAGACAGTATCAAATTGGCCAGGAAGTATCCATTGGCCATTTGGCATATTGGACTCTCTCTGGCCAATGGATACTGCCTGGCTCTCTTGGATTTCCAAGCAGATCCTAGGGTGGCAAAAGACGGTATCAAATTTGCCGGGCGGTATCCATTGGCCAGAGAGGTCTTGTATGCCAAATGGCCAATGGATAACTGCCTGGCCAATTTGATACTGTCTTTTGCCACCCTGGGATCTGCTTGGAGATTAAGAATTCAGCCAAAATTTGGATCTGACTAGCTAGGGAAGTGGGTCCACCATTAGGGTTTCATTTCAGGCAAATGAACTTGATGGTGGCTAAACTACCCTGGCCAGTTATTCTTCCTTTTTGGCAAAATTTTACTGTTTTGAACCCGCGTTATTAGTCTGGTGAAGACTTAAGTTGCAATCAAAATCTGCCTGGAGCATTATAAGTAAAGCCACACCATGACAAAATAAAGATTCTCAAACTTGTACAGAAGGATTTTTTGTACAGAAAACTTAAGTTAAGGTGGAATATTGTGTATCATAAAAAAAGCCATTTTGACAGGTTTAGAAACTGTTGTGTGTCACTTGTACCTACTTTACAAATTTACCAAATCATTTTTAAGTCCCGACTTTTAATCATTTTAGGATGTGAGCTAGAACTTTGTATAATAAAATATGTATACTTACAATATTAAATTTAGTACCAAAATTTACTGTATTGAATCTTCTCAGCAAGAATAATGTAGTTGCCAAACATTTGCCTTTTTTGTACACTTGACAGTTTGTTACCGTTTGAAATATTGATATCAAGACAGCGCAAGTTTCTATTCCTAGATTTATTCCCGTAAATACTTTACGAGAAACTCAAAGACAAAGTCTTGCCAAGCTCTACATCTCATAAACAGTTTTAATGTTAAACTTGTGACTGCACCATGAAGAATCAAAAAGATATAATTTGCTACAAACATACCATAGGCTAACATTTGTGTTGAATTTAGTTTAGGAATTGTACATTTGTATAGTCTTGATTTTTAAGCAACAAAATGTGTCAACTGCAATGTTTGGGAAAAGTGTGTTTAATATTGACTTTGTTTAAATAGTTGTGTTAAGAAAATACAGACATCTATCTAGTGTTTTTTGTATGCTATATAGTATTATATATTAATTAATGTCTGCAATACCTCTAAGTTAGCAGTAAACATTGATCGATAAGTTGTATAAGAGTGCATTGTATTCCTCTGAATTGTTTTAAAAGTGTGTCTTTCCAATAATTACAGTTTTTCTTCAACCCTGGTCTTTCTTGTAGTTTCTCAAATTACACATTTTTGTTTGAGGTCAGCATTTATCTTGTGTATTGTCTTAGTTGTTTTCTTCTCAGTATATTAGTTAAAAAGAATAATTATGACATTTGATATTACAAATAATCCTATTATTATTATTAATGATTTAATATATAGTTTTCTGATTCATATAATAGCTTAATAGCTCATTGTGGTTTTTGATAGTTCAATGTGTATAGTATTCAAAAATGTATTCTCATGTAAAAATACTAGTTAGCATTGGTATGTTTGAGTTATCTTGCCAAAATTGTTAATTTAACAATCATGTACCGGTAGTTTTTATGTTATTACTAGTACCCAGTTCAACTGCCAACAAATGTCACATTGTCACAAAAAATTGTGCATAAAATTCATTCTTTTACTTTATTATTAGAATTATGGTAGTACATTTCTCACAGACATACAGGGTACCGAGATACAAAATATGTATTACTTGTAGTGTAGGTAACTTTTACTGTAACTTGTTTTATTGTAGCACAGCAATCAAAATAGATACTGTATATCCTTATTGCTTTGCATATGCGTGTGTCATGGAAATCCAAGTCTGACCAAAATTTCCTTTGCTAGGTGCCTGTAAATTTGTACAGTTCTTCCCTTCCTATAACAGGTATGCAAGGTTATGGTGTAAAGTAAAGTAACCCCTGTCAACAGTGATGGACTCTTCCAGATACATAACCAAGCTTTGTAACCAGATGAAACCAAACACCTTACGTAGGGGTGAAAAATAGTGAAAACCAACTCTATAATATAGAGTGTACTGTAGCTTTGTTTGTTAATAGAGACATGGAAACCTTTGCTGTATGAAGGTAAAACTTGCTGATGCTTGTATATCACTATTTGTAATTGTTTTTATGCCATGTTTGTACTGTAAAGTCCTTTCTGTAATATGTGCCTTTTGTACAGCAACAAGAGTAAAGCAAGTATATTTTACACCTTTGAAAGAATCAGAGTCTTACTTGTTGTTAATATATTTGAGTGCCTATTATATCAATTACGTTCAGTTTTATTTAAAATTGACTGGCATGTCATATACAATGTCACATGAAATATGTCAGATTTTTTACAGTTACTGCTCATATATTAAGGCTGAAAATGACAGTCGTCCTTTAATACAGTCCAAAACTCATGACATTAAACATAATACAGGATGCATAAAAATCATAATACCACATACAATGACAACATAGGATGCTCAGACAGTAACTTCAATGGCCATGATGATGGAGCTGATTGAAATTAAATCTGGCAATTGCAGAGGTTTGAATCATTTGAAGACAGGCTTCTCTTTCCTATTGGTAGTGTATATAGTGGGTAAAAGACTGTCAGCTTCCTTACCCAGCTAAATACACTGCCACAGAACAGAGAGCAGAAATATCTCAGCTGCCCTCCAAAATCTTCAATCTGGAAAGGCAAAATAATCAAATTAAAGGAATATCCCAGCACTATAACATTGTGTCTGCAAAACCTGTTTAGTATTAAAAGGTGCTGATATGTACCAATGTGTAAGTAATATATTATCTACACATAGACATATCCAAATAATGACACCAAAGTCCATATTTGTGGTGATTAGATGACCATAAGTGATTAGGAAATGCCTTTTGTGACCCCCTATAATTCAAGTTAATCCCTCATATGAGCTTAGTTAATCCTGCTGTCGACACTCAGTCTGTCACGGCTAACCTTGGCTGGTAGAATATGGTTGTGAAGGTATTTAGAAAGTCCAAGTTTAGATACAGCATTTGTCAAGTGCACCACGTAGACTTGTCTAGTTTTGGGGTCAGCTGGGCTGTCCTTGGTTTGACTTAATCATTTTTGCAGGCTCTTTACCACCAAAGGAATTTGCTGGCATCATAGTTCTTGTGACTTGACTTGACTTCCAGCTATTATAGCTACATGTATGAGCCTGTCATCGAGTGAAGCATTGCTGAAGGACCACGTACCATTCAGAGCTGCTGTATTTAGCAGAAAGGTTTTGACAGATTGACATCCAAAAATATAATCTATGAGGCCACATCAATTCTATATATTAGTTCACGGATTTCAAAAATAGTACTGAACTTGAATGTTTAAATGTCAATTAATGTGAAAACAAGTTTATTACCTAACATCTGTGTCCATAATATCACCAGGGTCCATAATATCGCCACCTTCAGAAAAAGTGTGCGTAAAGATATTTTTACAGCAACATACCCTAGGTATGTACATTTGATGTGTGAAGGAGTGCATAGCAAAAGTATGTTGCAGTAAAAATATCTTTATGCACACTGTTTCTCAAGGTGGCGATATTATGGACCCTGATGTTAATGGTATACACTGATGGTACACAGAGATAGAATATGTGATATAGTCAGTCATCAAGTGTTTCTCATAGTCACTTAGCCCTTTTTCCTATTGTTCTCTCTCTAAATTTTACTTAAACATGACAGAAAACCAATGAAAAGGATAAAATGTGGTCTTGCAGACAGAATCTCAATGTGAACATGTGTTTGCTGGTGTTTTTGAAGTGCTGTATCGCCCACTTGACAACTTCCCTTACCAACCATTGTTTCTCAGACTATTTCAGTCTGTATTAAACAAACTCTTGCTTCCGTTCCACCAGCCATGTTTCCTGTTGACCCAATTCTGTACCAGAAGACTGAATGAAGGGTTGATAGTGTGTATTGTGTTCTTGCTTGCATTACACCAACCAAAACAGGTGTTTTTGGATGATGGCTTTTTTCCGTCTTATTTAGAGGCAACTATCACCCAGAGTAAAGTTTAAAGTCTGAGAGGAAAGTCTTGGATACATGCAGTTTTTGGGGTGGATCTTTGATTCATGATTTGCTCCAAGCCTTCTGTTTTGCTTATGGCCTATTGCTGACTTTAATATGGCAATACTTACAAATGTCAGTATAAAAATCAAAGAAATAGAGTAGTGTGACCTAATAAACAATTTGGTTGTAAGCTTCTAGTAATACATCCGAATCAAATCGCAATGGCATGCCTTGATATCAAATTCTTGTGGTTTCCAGCGATTCACAAAAACATGTCTGCCAACGCAAACCGTGATTAAAAATTACACTACTAAATGTACCTGTATACAATACAGCTTCATCATGCAAAAACATAGTTTTAAGTTTTGACTGTTCTTTGCATCATTAGCATTTTAGGGTTCACCATTGATAAGCAAAAAAGCACAATGAATAATACTGAATACTGCCACAATACCAAGGAAGATATACAATGTATGATATACATGTAGCTGTGACACTGTATTTAGGTACTTACAAATGTGCTGCTAACTTCTGTCTTGTATCATGAAGGGCCTTCCACTTATAGCTCTTGACTTGACTCCAGTGCTGGACTAGATTGAATATTATTGATTATATCCCTATATTTATACACTTGTGGTCGTCCACTGGGGGATGGGTCGGTACAGGGGGATGCTCAAGCGATGACATAATGTCGCCGAGTATGTCTCGACCAATCAGGGGCGGCGGACGGAGTCATCGCTCAGAATAGTCCAGAACTTTTCCAGGCAGTGACATCATGGTGGGTAAATGGCTCTGATGTGTAATTAAGACTCTGAACATCCTGTTTCGGACAGGGTTGGAGGGACTGTTCATTGTTATGAGGGAGGATGTTCAGATGAA